GGGAGCCCGATGTGGGACTCGATCCCAGGACCCTGGGATCATGACCTGAGCCGAAGGCAGTCGCTTAACCAACTGAGCCACCCAGGCGCCCTCACAGGACTCTTCTGTCCCTAGACTTCGTGCTCGGTCCTTCCAGCGCCTCCGCCTGTGGCGCTCTGGTCATGGCACTGCCTCACCTGCCTGCAGAATTACCCGCTTGGTCTCAGCAGCCCTCTTGTTTTTCCCAGACTCTGCTTTTCTTTTCTGTGTCACTCGCTTAGCAGCTGCTGGGCCTCTACGCACTCGCTTTGCCTGGTGTGGCTGGTCCCTGCCATGGCCTGGTCGCGGGCTCTTCAGGGGCAAGTCTGGTTCCTATCCACCGTAGGACATCCTGGGGTCATGCGCTCAGGTGCTCGGGAAATGGCTGTTACTCAAATGCTGAGCAGCCCTGCACGGCAGGAATTATGCTGGAAGCCGTTTGATCCCAGCTGCCAGGTGGGGATGTGGTTTGGGGGGGGCGGGCAAAGGCTCTCCCTGTTCTCAGGGCCTCTCCCCCACGGGGCTGCGTGAGGGGGTCCCTCTCCTCAGCCAGGGCTGGAGGCCAAGATCAGCCCTTGAGGATCATTGTCGGGGCTGCCATGAGCTGGCAGCCTTGTTTTCCTGCCTCAGACATCTGGAGTTGCTGGGAGCCCCCACGTGGTCTATCCCAGGCCTGCCAACCCCACAGTCAGAGGGGCTAACGTGGCAGCACTGGGCCCGGGGCCTCCGGCTCTCCTCGGATGGTGCCAGGCTCTCATGAGCTCATCCTGCCTGTGTTGCCCCAAAAGTAGCGTGGCTCACCCTGCCTGCCCCGTGGGCAACACCTAACAAAGACACTGAAGCGGATGCATGTGGGGGAGTGGGGGAGTGCGGGGCCTCTCCCCTCCTGCTCTCCTCCTACCCAACAGCTTTGGCCCGGGAGGGGGGGGGGATGTGGGGGGGGATCACTGAGGGAGGAGAGGGTGTCTAAAGGCGGGGACTTCGGTGGTCGCAGGGGCATGGGAGGATGGCTTTTGGGGCTGTTGGGCCCCGCACGGGTGAGCCACGCCCTCCGTCCCCTCAGAGCGGTGTCTCCCGCGCAGGGTCCTGTACAGGATGGCGAGGCGTGGGATCGTGAGGAAGAGCCGCGAGTGGGTGCTAGGGAAGAAGGCACGGCGCAGGCGGCAGGGCGAGTGAGTGCTGGGGCTGGGCTGCTGGCGAGGGCGGGTTCTGGGGCTGTGCAGGGCTTCCCTGCAGTTGGAGGGGTCCCGGGGGTTCTTTGTTCTTTTCTCTGAGACTGGCCCGTGACTTCTTCGCCACAGGGATGTCAGACCGGACACCCGGTACACCGGCCGCAAGCGCAGGCCCCGCTTCTGAGCGGCGAGCCGGACATGTTTGGAGGCCCAGCGACAAGCCTTGTCACCCACCTTGTCGCCCGCCGGGGGTTCTGTCGAAGTGCCTAGTTCCGTTAGCTGACAGAATACTGTTTCAGGAAAGTTCTCAAGTTCTAACCCATTTCCTTTCACTAACAAAAGTTCTTGTTCTAAAAGCAATAAACCACTTTCTGTGAACTGGGGCTCTGGCGTTTTTCAGCTCTGATCCTGAACACATTTCTTGGGTCCCTCTACTGCTGGGGGCCGCTGCCTGATTCCCCAGGTTGAGATGAGGCTTGCAAAACTTAAATGTATGAAAAGTACCCTTTTAACGTACAAGGAACACAGGTTTGATTTCAGGCTGCTTATCTATTGCAGCACGAGGCCGATTTGAGAAGCATGGGCAGGATGAAACTGTGGGACCCACTGCCCTGAGGCCATCGCCCAGCCTCCTCCGGCTGCCCTCCTGTTAAAGGCGTCACCCAGCCTGTGGCCTGGGCTGACCTTTGGCCGTGAGCTGCACCACTTGCTGATCGGCCCAGCACTTGGTTGCCTGTCTTTGGGGGCATGTCTCCTGTCTGATTTGTAGTGGTCAGAAGGGCAGGTTAAGTCCTGCCCTGGGGTGTGGAGGGGATCTGGGGGTCGCTTGTGACTCCTGGAAAAGCAGGAGGAGAGGGGGTAGCTATGGGCCCACAGTACAGAACGGGCATCAGGCTTCAAGCAGGAGTGGAGACGTTCAGGCTGGGGCGGAGGAGCCGGAGGATCTGGAGGCTGGAGGCTGAGGGAGAGTGCTTCCTTCCTCTTCGTGCTATGCACACTGACCCCCGAGTTCTAAGGCTGTGACGCTGTGACCGTAAGAAATCCAGATACAAATGTTTATTCTACATAAAAATTTCACAAAATGGGCAGCTGGTTGTACCAAGACCTTTGGTGAAGGGGTGAAGGAGGGGAGGGAAGTCGCGGTTGAAGAAGGCAACACGGACAGTGGTCACAGTCACTGGGCAGGAGCAGAGCTGAGGGAAGGCGGGGCACGGACGTGGCCCCATCCCCCACTGCATGCACTCGCATGCACACTCCAAGCCTGTCAGTGAGGAAGAGGGCTCTTGGGTGGGGGCACGTTTCCGACTTGAGAAGCCCCGAGACGGAGGAGGGAGGTACTCCTCCCCGGCTGGCTGCTGAATACCGCATCCCAGACACCCGACACCCACGTGGCACGTCAGTGGGGGACAGCAAGGGCAGGACGCGATTGCAGGCCTGAATGACGTCTGACTTCCAGAGCGCAAGAGAGCAGGGGCCATTGTCCCAAACATGCAACACCCGATGGCTTGAGAACCTGACCGAGGCCTGCCGGGGAGGGTGGCCGGCCCGGGGCGTGGGCTTCGGCTCTGGCAGGGGCCCGCCGGGCCCGGTCTGCCTCCCTAGCTCGAAGGGTGGCTGGAAACCAGGCACCGGGCAGCCTCTCGTAGAACGTGACCCGGGGTCAGGCATAGCCCAGAGGGGTTGCTCCCAGGGCTGTGGGAACGTGGGAAGGGAGTATGAGGCGGCCAAGACCTGCTGGACTCTGCCCCGACGCGGGCAGGGAGCCCGGTCTTGGCAAAGCCAGAAGCCACCTGGCCACTGCACCCTGAGCCTCCCTGGCAGTGGTCAGCTGGTAGAGGCTTAGAGCTGGGCTGCCTCTCAGGGCCACCCCTTCCTTAGCCTGAAAAGCAGCACCGTGCGGCCAGCTGGTCCCCACCCCTTAGGGGGCTTGGCTTTGGGGCACAGCTGGAGAGGCCAGAGGTCAGGGCAGACCCCAGGCTGGGGTGGGATTAACGGGAGGCGGGGGAAGGGGAGCACGGCTACCCCCGGCAGCGCCACCTGGGAAGGGGGAGGCGGCCTGGGCCAGGGCCTGAGTCTGTCCTTGCTGCGGACCTGCCCCAGCCCGCTCGCTCCCCGGTATAGACACACACTGTCACAGAGATCATGCACACGACGGCTCAGGGCACGGTGGGTACGGAGGGCCCTACGGCAGAGAAAGGGACGGCGTGGGCTGGGAAGGAAGGGGCTCCGAGCCCGAAGGCGGCAGCAGCCAGGGGGCCTCCTGAGGGCAGACCGTTCCGAGTGGGGTGGCCGGTGGGGTGCTTTCTAGCCGAAGATGCCTCCAAACGTGGAGGCGATGACAATGCCCAGGACCACGCAGCAGATGATGATCATGATCTTCTTCTGCACCAGGGAGGCAGGAAGGAGCGGCCTCAGACCCGGGAGGGAGGCTGAGGGCTGGGTCAGAGCTTGGAGGGGCGGGGCGTGCAAGGAGAGGGGTCCCTAAGCCGAGTTGGGGGTTGGGGGTCTGGGGGATGGAACCAGAGTTGGAACTGGGGAAGGTGCTGCCTGGAATGTACCGGGCGGGGGTGGGGGGTGACAGGTGGGAGCTGAAGGCTTCAGGTGAGGGCTTGGGTCAGAGCCCAGAGATGGGGTCAAGGCCGAGTGGGGAGGGACCCGTGGTGGCCCCCAGGGGCTCTAATGGGCAGAGGGGGGCTACTGACCCGGCGTGCCTTGCTCTGGTACTTGACGGCCTTCTTGGTGTCAGACACGGCCCTCTCCACATAGTCCACCGAATGTTCCACGTTGTACTCAATCCTGTCAATCATCTCCCCCTGCAGGGCCGGTGCCGGTCAGCTCCAGTGGGCCCCCCTCAGGGCAGGACTCTGGGGAAGCACCCTGAGGGCAGAGAAAGAAAAATGGGGGCGTGAGGATGGGGTACAGCCTCTCCTGTGCCCCCTCAGGCCAGGCCCCCGGGGCAGCACCCTCTCTTCCCTGCAGAGCAGCCATCCTGGGAGGGGACCTGGCCATGCAGTCTCAGCCAAGGGGGTGGAGACCATGCAGGGGGCGCTCAGCCGGGCCGGGTGCGAGGCAGAGGGAGGCGGGGGCAGCAGAGGGTGCTCTGGACAGGGTCCCACTCCTTCCTCGCTGGTGTGGTGGTTCCACCCAGATCCGACTGTCTTCAGTCTTCAACACTGAAGACCCCCTGCCTACTCCCGTAGCTCTTCTGGGCCCCGTAATCTGGCCCCAGCAGCCCCCAGAGGCCGTTCCCACCATGACGCTGCCCGAGACCCACGTGACAAATGACCACTCTCTCCAAGTCCACTGCGCCCGCCGGTGTCCAGATCGCCGCAGTCTCTCAGCCCACGGCGGCAGCAGCCTCCTCGTGGCCGCCCGGCTTCCTAGCTCGGCTCGCACCACACCCACACTTCAGACCCTCCGGTCTAGAAGAGAACCCAGAAGCCCAGCACCACCGCCTGCCTCCTCTTCACTACCCTCCCGCCCCGCCGAGCTCCAGTCGCTCCAGTCGCACGACCTCCTCAGTGAGCCGGGCTCTTGCCAGCCTCGGGGCCAGGCCCTGCTGGTCCTGCTCTTCACTCACCCTGGGACCCTGGGAAACTTTCCGAGCTCAAATGCCACCTCCTAGAGAGGGCTTCCCTGACCACCCCCATCCAAAGTGGCCACCACAGGGACGCTATTACGGTGTTACCCCAAGTGTGGCCCTGGGACTAGCAGCATCAGCGTCCCCCTCGAACCTGTTAGAAATGCAAATTCACGGGCCCCCACTCTGACCTACCCATCTCTGGGACCGGGGATCAGGAAACCTCCAAGGCCGGCCTTGCCCCCCCCGCCCCCCGTGATTCCTGGGCCTTTTAGAGCTGGAGAACCACTGCTCTATCTCACTGCCTCCTGCTAACATCTGAGCACCCGGCACAACTGGAGAACGTTCCATCTGTCATTTCCTTATGCTGCACTTCCGCCCCACAGACATGAGCTCCAGGAAGCAGGCCCTCCACTGTCCTGGTCACTACTATACTTCCAGCTCCTAGAAAAGCGGCCGTCCACAGTGGCCCCGTGCCAGGCGGCCGGTGAATAAGACACGATAAGGCTGGGTGGAGGGCCATGCAGGGCCTGGGGTCCCGGTGGGCCAAGCAGAGCCATGCAGAGGATGGGGTCCTCCGGGTGGGCCTGGCCCTGGAGGCAGTGTCCACAGCGGGTGGTTAGTTACCTGGAGACTTGGTCCCTCCCGGCAGAGCAGCGTGTCAGGCAAAAAGGGTAGGGGTTAGTGCAGCCCTGGGTGCTGCTGTGGGCTGGGCGGGCGGAGGGCAGTGGGGCCCTAGGCTCTCACCTGGCTCTCCACGAGCATGGCCATGTCCATGAACATGTCGTGCAGCTCACGGATGCTGTTCTCCAGCTTGATGATCTCACTGTGCCGCGTCTCAATCTCGCTCAGAGCCTGCTTTGAGATGCTGGAGTCCATGATGATCTAGGGGGTGGGAGCAGTGGGCTGGGGACCCAGGAGCCTGCCGCAGCGGGCAGGGAGGGGGGGCCCCGGACCAGGCCGGCCGGCCAAGGGCGAAGGCAGCTGGGATGGGCGGTGGCTCCCTCCTCAGCCACAGCGCTCCCCCACTTCCTGCTTGGTTCTTACTAGCTGTTACCTGATTTCTCGGGGACGCACTTCTCGGTGCTGATGGGGGCCACCTGTGCCCACCACGTGGTCACTGCTCACCAGCCTTGTATAGAGGCCAAGTTGACTGCACCCCCAAGGACCCAGGCCTTGAACCGCCTTTCTCCCTTTCCCCCCGCCCCTCCGGTCAGCCTCCCGGAGAGGGTAACTAGCCCTTCCCTTCTCTCCTGGAACCCACAGCCCCTACCTGCCTTCCACCCTGTGGGCCGCCTCCTTCAGGAAGCCCCCTGCTCAAGTGTCACTTGAACGTGGAGGCGGCCAATGGCACCGTGTCTCCCAGGAGAGGAACAAGGCCCTGAGAATGGCGGAAGGAGCCCCTGGCCCGTGAAGCAAGGAAGTGCACCCAATTGAGAGGAAGCAGGAGATGGAGGTCTTAATTCTACCTGTGCCACTAATATTTAAGTGGCCTCAGTCTGGTCCTTTTCCTCTCGGACTCAGCCTTCTCTGAGACCGGCCTTGCAAGGTGGTTGTATCCAAAGATTGCCCCCAGCCTCAGCACTTTGCACACACACCAGGGATCCCTGCCAGGGGTGATAGCGGGGCGGGGTGGTTCACACTTACCCCAGAAGCAAAGATGGCGGGGTTTCCACTCTCCAGCATGTCCTCCAGCTCCTCACTGGTCGTGGTCCGGCCAGCTGTGAGCAGGGGTCGCACTGAGCCCTGCACACCCTGTGGGGCTCAGCCCCGGCCCCGCCCCTCACCCGCCCCCCCTCAGCTTACTGATCTCCAGTTGCCTCTGGATGCGGCCCTTGCAGCGCTCACGGTAGTCAGACTGCGTGGCATTGTACTCGGACATGACCTCCACAAACTTGCGGGACAGCGTGGAGTGCTGGGGGTGCAAGATGGGGGTGCAAGTGTCAGGCCCAGCTCCACAGAGCCCCAGGGCCTCAAGAGCCCGCCGCCCCCCGCTGGAGGCCCGCCGGCGGCACCTGTGTCTTTCGGATCCTCAGGTCCGCGGATGAGCGGTTGAGGCCTTCCTCCTGCTCGATGCTCTGCTCGATGCCTGTGGGAGAGGGGGGCTGCTGAGCCATAACCTGCCCCCTCACCACTGTCCCCTCCCTCTTGGACCCACACACCCAGGATCTGGCTCTGGACCTCCCCTGGGGAGGGTCTAGTGTGGACTGTGGCGGGGGCGGGGGGAGCCACACAGGAAGCAGAGGAAGAGGGCGCGCCAGGCACTGCGGGAGGGGCCGCCAGGGGCCCATCCAGGCACGATGCAGGTTTCGGGGTGTGCACATATGCACACCCATCTGCGAGGCCTCAGGCACCCACCAAGCTCTGTGTGTATGAGCGCCTACTGCGTACTAGGCCTGGCAGCTCGGGCCCACCCGGCCTTCTGCTCAGGAAGCCTGTGCGCCCAACAAGGGGCCATGCCCAGAGTGGGGAGGGCCGCCAGGGGCGGCCCCTGGGCCTATACACCTCTGTGCTCCCACAAGCGCATGGGGCTTGTGTGTGGGACCAGGCGGTGCTGGCCACCCCTTGAGCCCTCTTTAGCTGAAGTGGGGGACAATTCCCAGAGTGGAGCACTCCCTCACTGAAGCCTCAGGCATCTGTCCCAAGGCCCGGCCCCGAGCCTGGCCCAAACAAGCCTTGCCAAGTAGCAGCTGAGAGAATGGGCATGTGATGGCACCCTCATAAAGGAAAGCAAGACCCAGTGTACCCCTCCGAGTCCGTGAGACCCGCGGAATGCAGAGGAAGCGGGCCCAGAGTGCCCCCCCCCGCCCCCCAAGACAAGGCCTGGATGGAGCCCAGACTCACTCTTTAACTTGGAGCGAACTTTGTTTGCGGTCTTCTTTATGTCAGACATGAGCTCCTCCAGCTCCTCCTTCGTCTCTGGGGAGGTAGAAGGGGGACAGGGTAGACGCCCAGGGTTCCCCCGCTGCCTGACGTTCAGGCTCAGCCCCTGGCGCAGGGGGCCCGGTCGTGGGGCTCCGGGCAGAGCCTGGGTCCCGGGTCTCCCCCCTTCCGCTGCCTAAGGCTCTGCCTGCCCCTCCAACCCTGGGCCGGGGCCACACCAGCTGCAGCCTCACCCCCTCTGTGCTGCCTTCCAAGGAGCCTCCCTTCCTCCTTTGCTGGCTCTCCCACCCCCTGCACACAACAGATGGGTCTAAATTTAAGGCAGAAATAACTGTGGAGCAGCTAGATGCTGGAGTCGGCACTGGGGAACACTGACTTGATGCTTGCCTGAGTCGAAGGTGGGGGGTGCGGGCTCACCTAGAGTCACCTGGTAGCTGGGGGCGAGGGGGACAGACATCCAGCCAATAGGGTGACAGAGCCAGGGGCCAGGGAGGCTGAAGCGAGCCCCCCTCCACGGAGCACCCTGGGCGGGGGAGACCCTGTTCTACTGAGCCCCGCTTCCCAGGTGCTGAGCTCAGTGGGGGCCAAGCGCTGAGGGCCCAGGGGGTGGACGGGGGCATGAGGCACCTGGCCTGGATGGGAGCTGATAGAGAAGAGGCTCAGACAGGTGTGCCCCCTGGTACACAGTTGGCCCTGGAGCACCAGCTGGCTGGTTCTGTGACGAAGTGGGGGGAATTTGGCCCTTGTTCCAACCGGAACCATCTCTCTAAAGCTGGCAGAGGCCATGGGGGGTACCCAGCTTGCCCCACCCCCGGCGGGGGGGGGTGATGGCTGGCCGAGTGGGGCAGGGTGACTGCTTCCCTCTGGGGTGCTGGCTGGAGCAATGACTCATGACAGCGCCCCAGCTTCAGGGCAACCCCAGGACTCTATTTCCTGGAGAAACCAGGACGGAGCTCCTGGCTGAGCCCGTCCTATCCACGGTCTGCTTTCCTCTGGGGCTGGGCCTCTCCTAGAGGGGGTTGGGAGGGGGGCATTTACAGCAGTTGATGTGGGGGGCACCTACTAAGTGGATCGTGAGGTGGGGGGCTTCGAGGAGCGGAGGAGGGCACCTCATTCGTACAAAGGAAACTTGGTTACCAGCTGCTTTGCCGTCTCTGCCTCTCTTGCTCAGACCCAAAATAGCCCAGCCCGGATGGCGGCCCCCAGGGGAGGCAGGGCAGCCCTTGGCCCAGGAAAGCCCCCCCCCCCGCTCGCCACAGTCCTTCCCAGTGCCTCCTCGGTAACTGCTCCCTCCGCTCTAGAACCTTCACCGGGGAGCCCCCTCCCCACATTAGTGACCGCTGGCCGGTCCTGACTGCTTGGCTCGTGGTGGCAATTCTGAACCGGTCGCTACAGACTATGACGCGGGGAGACCTTGTGTGGAAGGTGGGACAAGGGAGCCGAGAGAATCCTTTCTGGCGTCTCTGTCACCCCACGTTCGGCCCATCTGCCAGCAGGGGAGTGCCCCAGCTCTTAAAGTACCCTGTTCCCACAGCCGGCCCCCTCTGACCCTCAGCAGGAGGGACCCATGGGGACACACGCGGACTCAGACGCACATGCGCGGGAAGACGTATGATGTCACATGCTGCTACCCGAGACAAATCTCTGGGGAGAGGGGTGATGCGTCGTGGCCACACTGAACGTGGGCCCTGCCTCGGGTGGCCCCTCTCTCCTTCCCACCCATTCCTGGCACGGACTCCCACCGGACTCATTTTGCTTTCCAAGGGCCCGGCACTGGGCCCGCTCGGCTTGGCCCTGGCCTCGGGTTCCAGCGCCCTTTGGGGGCTGTGGAGAGATTTCTCCTGGGGGCTTGAGGATGCCGGCGGACCAGGGGCCCAGGGGCCGAGGGGCCGGGGACAGGCAGACACAGCTGCAGGCCACTCGCCTGCCCAGCCCTGAGTGCTTCCCCAGGCCTGCCCAGCGCCGGGACCCTCCCCCTCGCATTCTTGGGGCCCCCGGGGCTTGTGCTTGAGGCGAGCCAGCAGGAGCAGTGTGCGCGTGCCCAGGTCCCAGGCCTGGGCCCCAGCGCTGTCACTGCCTCCCCGGGGGCTGAGGGGAAGGAATCTGGGGCCTGCGTGCAGTCGCCTGGCACAGGGCAGGGCAGTCATCAACACCTCGCCAGGAGCTGTGACAGGAGGCTCAGGGGGGCCTGTCTGGGGACAGAGTGGAATGCAGACACACAGAGGCTCCCTGTGCACAGGGAGAAAGGTGACTTCCTGGAGCCCCGAGAAGGCCCGGCTCCAGGGTACCAGTGGCCAGGTGCCAGGGCTGCTAGCTCTTTCCGGAAGCTCCTCCTGCTTGGCCGGCTTGCCCTCCCACGGCGCTGAGGCTCCGCGCAGCCATCTGCTGCCCGGGGAGGCTCGGGAAAGGGAGGGGCTGGGCAGACAGGCTGCCTTTTGCGCCTTCCCACCCAGCTTACCTGGCGGGGGCGGGGCTGGCCGGAGGCCCCCCACCCCGGGCCTGGGCCAGCCGTGTTCCCTGAAGCTTTCCACGGGGCCCTCCCCACCCTGGCCAGGCCCAGGTACTCCTCAGCCGCACAACAGTGAGGCTGCTGGGGATCCAGGAGCCCCTCCCTCCCCAGCTGCCGCGCCTTCCAGGAGGCCTGGAAGCCGCCCCTCAGTCCTCCACACTCACTCTCATCAGGGTTGGGGGAGGCCAGGATGGCGCTGTGCTTCCGTTTCACCTCCTCCACGTTCTCCGAGATCTTGTCAATGAAGCCGCGGATCTCCTCCACCTGCACACCAAGGCCTCCGGTCAGGAGGAGACCCCAGGGAGGGCGCTCGTGGGCCCCGGGGCTGGACCAGACTGGGGCTGGCGGCCAGGCTCAGAGAGAGGCTGGACCAGGCTTCGGGTGGGGGTGTAACGTGGGCCCCCCGCCTCCAAGGTCTGCCAGTGTATTGGCGGACGCGGGCTGTGCTGGCTCCCACCTGTTCAAAGAACTCATCCATGAAGCCGTCCCGGTCCACGGTGACAGTGACATCATCATCGTCATCGCTGTCCTTGGCCTGCGCAGGGGTGTGTACACGTGAGCGGACCTGTGGTAGGCCCACTGGGACCCACTGGACCCGGGACCGCGAACTGCCCAGCGTCCATATTCAGCAGGCTCACAGGCTCACCTCCGCGGCCCCGACCACTGCCCCTCTGTCCTCTTAGCAGCATCCTCGGCAACCAGCCACAGTGAGACGTGGAGGACCCCTGGGGCCCCCCCATAAGGAAAGAGGCCTTGCCTGTCAAGATGGTGACAGGGCCAAGTCTGTAGAGTCTCTAGGCCAAGGACTCCATCCCCTGCCCAGCTGCTTGCCCCTTCCCCCCAGGACCGGGGTCCTCCTGGCACGCCCCTCACCCTAGGGGGCAGCTGGAAAGGCTTGGCCCCCTGGCCAGGGGCCCCCAACTCACAGACCTTGCCTGGGACAGGCCGGCTGGAAACCAGCCTTCTCTACTTTCCAGTGCCGATGGTTTTAATTAGGATGGGGCCCAAAGTTCCCAAGCTCCTTTTCCGGGGGGGGGGGCGGGAGTGGGAGGCCCGGGCGCCACCCACACCTGCCCCCGAAAAGGCAGGCTGGCTCAGACACGGGCCATCCCACAGCTCCTCAAGCAGGCCTGAGAGATGCTGGCTGCACACAGCCCTGCAAGCTCAGCTGTCCCCTTGTCATTCTCGACATCAGACCTCCATCCTCTTCCCCTCCAGGCCCAGAGCTGGGCCCCACCAGCCTGAGAGGCCAGTCATGTCACTTGGCTCGGGGCCTCCCCTAGGCCCCACCCCGCCACCCCAGGAGCAGCCAGACAAAAGCCACCCCCATCACGGGGCGGAGTAATTACACCTCCGACTTCCCAGTGTGCCGGCCGTGCTCATCACTGTCCGCCTTACACGCTTCGAGTCGCCAGGGGCAGCCCACTCTGCTGGCAAGGGCAAGTCCCTCTCCACGGCCAAGGCCAGGATACGGAGGGTGGGACCGGCCCCCTCAGACTGCGGTTATCAGGCTTGGTCACACCCCTTCAGGTCTCAGCACCCCACGGCAGGAGGCGTGAGCAGGTTCGGCACTGGCCTTCACCTTGTTCTCTCTTATGTCAGGGTCAGAGCCGAGGACAGGGGCAGGTGGCAGTGGAGGGATGGTGAAGCTGGGGGACCCAGGAGGCTGGGCCCAGCTAGCCTGCTGAGGAGGGACCCAGGTTCCGTGCCCAGCGCAGACAGTGGCTGGCTGAGGGACGTGCCGTCTGGGTCTGTTTGCTCCTGTGTGCAGTGGGGACAGGGACGCCTGGTTGCGGGGACAGAAGGCTGAGAAAGGGTGGGAAGGCACAGCATGTTCTGAAAGGGCTGTGCCCCTGGGGCTCTCGGGGTCCCACTGCCCCACCAGAGTGGGACCAGACAGCAGAGGGGGTTGGTTGGGAACTTTACGGAGGCGGCTCTGACAGGCCCCTCTCATCAAGAGATCACACCTCCTCCCCCAGCAGCTAAAATAAATCCTCGCTCCCACAAGTGCCTGTGGCTGCTACCAGGTGGCCCCCTCCCCCCAACCAAGCCCACCTATTGACAAAGAGAATCTAGGAGCCATTTCCACACTTCTGAACCTTGCCAGGCGCAGAAGCTAAGCTAGAGGAGCACTCCTTAGGGAAACTGAGGCAGAGTGCAGTCTGGAGGAGCCCAGCTCCCACTCCGGGGCAGCCTGCCAGATAGGGAGGTGCTCCCAGGAGCTCCTGCCCTTCAGCGGCCTGCCCTCTCTGTCTTTTTGGCATCTAGAGAAAGAAGAGGATGGACAGGAAAGGACAGAAGGAGAATTTTCCAGCTCCCCTCCCAGGAAGAGTAATGACCGGCTAGGGCCAAAGACAAGGGCACCAGGGTTTCCAGAGACGAGAGCTGTTGCCAGAGACCCCTGGGGTCTGGGCTGCTGCTCTCCCTGGGCCTCGGCTTGCCTGCCTATAAAACAAGGACGGATCTTCTCGAGCATCCAGCAGCTCCGACCTGCTCCCTCCACAGCCTCCCCAGGAAACTGACGGCTGGAGTCAGGGAGTTTCTCCAACAGAGGGCTGGCAGGAAGGATGTCCACGCTCTCCTCCCCGCCCGCCGGCCATGAGCGCAGAGCTGAGGAAGGGGACACCTGGGGCCAGGGCCTGACTGGGGCTCCCAGGTGGGGGTCCACCCCGAAGGTGGCATTCAGATTAGCCCCAAAGCCAATCGGAGGGTTGAGGGCCTGACGTCACAGCCTTGGTCACACCAGTGGTGACTCCAAGCAAAACCCTGAGGGGACTCTCCGTGGGGACCCCTTCCTTACCACGTCCTGGCTCTTCTTCCTCCTCAGGACTTTTCACCCACTGCCCCTCGTCACCTCACTGCCGCAGCCTGAAACTGGACCCCGGCACACCCCACCTAAACCATCTCCCTGCCTCCACAGCCCACCCGCTGTCTTCCCTTGCCCCATGCAATTCCCTCTGGCTGGAATGCTGATTCCATGAAGCTGACATTCCCCTCATCCTTAGATGCCACCTCCTTTCAGAAGCCTTCCCCTGGGTCAGTATCTTGCTCCTCGGGTTCCCCACACACTACTCCCATCTCTACTGGAACCACAGCCACACGCTCTCAGGCCCTAAGGGACCTGAAAAGTCACCTTGGCCTCAGCTGCCGGCCTCAGCTTGCATACCTCCTGTGATGGTGAGCTCACTAGCTTTCCCGGGCAGCTCTGCCTACCTTGGGCTGCCCCGATGCCCCTTTCCTGCGGCCCTAAGCCATAAAAAACCTGTTGGTGCCCTCTCCCTGGGCTGGTCTTGCCAGAGACCTGAAGGCAGCATCCGCATCTTCCCTGGGTTTTTCTCCTCATGCTGACTGTTCCCTTCCCCTCATATTCCACCCCCGCCCAGGGCCCTAAATTGCAACCCCCGCCCCAGACTTCTTCAGTTCAGTCTCTATCTTCTTCTGCGGTACATGATACAAACTGAATCTGCTACTGATTGTGGCCTAAGTGGTACCAAAGAGCTGACCCATCCCTTCCTCTTTTTACATGATCTACCTTTGTTAATACAACCAGAGATCAGTATAAGTGATCACATAGCAGTTCCTGCCCAGAAAAGCCCCAAGCCCTTCCCCACCACTGTCTACTTGGTTGGATTTTAGGCTCAAGTGAAGGACTTTTTTTTGCTTAATTTCTTCATTTGTTCTGATCCTTGTTCCACTTTGTGAGAATCTGATGGCTCATGACTCTGGGGCCCCCAGCAACCTCATCCACATCTAGGTCAGAGCCCTGTGGCACCTTTCTAGAGACATCCTCCAGGTTAACTAAGACCCCAATCAGGTTTCACTGGCACTAAATAAATGACAAGCCCCAGACCCAGACACACTCCTGACCCAAAAGGAAGTAGGAACTAGGCTGGCGTCTCCTGGTGTCCTGGGATGGTCAGGGTGGGCATCACCAACATGCACAAAGGGAGCACCCAGATGGTTTAGAATCATGAGGGCCCCAGCTCCCTTGGAAATCTGCCAGCCCTCTGTGAGTGACAGTCACAGCTCCAGAAAGAGGGCTGGACTGGACTGGGGACTTGAGGTGGCATCTGGAGCCTGGGAGTGGTCGCAAGCTCGGAGCGGCAAACATCTTCAGGATAAACCCACCCAGGCATCATGTGAGCACCCTACCTGCCACCTGGCCCAAACTAGGTTCTGCCTCGTTCTCCTGAGCACCTCCTCTGAAACCCCCCATTCTCAAGGGTCCCCCCAAATCAGAAACCAGGGTACATCTACTTTTTTCCTCTTCCTCTCACATCCATCCAATATTTGACTTGTCGTGGTGTTTGTTCAGTGGTTCTTAATCCTGTTGCAGCACCATGATCCCTTGAAAGGCTTAAAAAAAAACAAACCCAAAAAAACAGCTTCCAGGGTTCTACCCCAGAGAGACCGAATCAGAATTTAGGGGTTTGGGGCTGGTAAGGCCAAGTTTTTAAAAAGTACCCCCACCCCGGGGTTGAGAACCAGTGGTCTGATCTTACTCCTTTCTGACAGACTCTGGCCTCATGAGGCCTCTGGGCCAAGCCATCCGGAATGGCCACTCTGGCCAGAAGCCCTAAACTTCCAGAGGCCAGACAGCCCTGGTGGTCTCTCCTGGCAGAGGCTCCAGGATGCCAGGATACCTTCCTGGAAACAAAAGTGTGATTCCTCCAAGAGGCTCAGAGTCCAGGCAGCCTCCAGGCCCGTCCCCAGGGATGGATGGCGGGAGGCCAGCCAACAGGGTTGATTCATTCCTCCTGAGCAGGAGTTGGCTGTTGTCTGCCTCGAGGGCTATTTTTTTTTCCCTTCTTGTTTTTAATGACGAATCAAAGTCAAAGTCAATACGACTAGAGCAGAGAGACCCAGAGCTGAGTCAGGGGTATGTGAGGCCAAGCTGGGTCTCCAGACCCCCCCTTCCCTCGTCTGACCCTTTCACCCTCTCCCCATCTGGTGTACGCCCTTCACCTCCAGATCCCTGCCCCTGACCAGGGCCCCAGGGCAGCTGCAGAAGGCAGCCTCAGCCCATGGAGAGGAGGTGGCTTCAGCCCCGCACTCCCTCCACCCACCCCCAACCCCTGTCCCAGTATACTGTGTGACCTTAGATAAACCTCTGGCCCTTTCCAGACCTCAGTTTTCCAATTTGTGAAAGAGGAGGTTGGACTACATCGTCCCTGAAGGTCATTCCGGCGGCACCCCAGGGGACAATGTGTCCAAACCCACGGTTTCTTCTGGGAAACCCCAAGGAGGTAAGGGGAGGGAAGGAGGCCTACTCTTACATCCCCATTCTTCCACTCTGCAAGGCGGATCCGGCCGGCTGCACTGTATGGATGAAATGGGCACAGAGAGGTTAAGGTAAGAACCTGCCTGGTGTTGTCCAGGACACCCAGTCTCTTCCCAGCAATGAGAGAGAAAGGGGGAATGGGTGGGCAAAGGGGCGCACGGGCTTCCCCAGCCAGGCATCAGACCACCCGCCATTCTCTCCTCGTTGGGCTTTGCAACCTCTCTGCCTTTACTACCGGAGGCCCCTCCTTTTGGACCATCTTCCCTCCTCCCATTTCTACCCGACCCCTTCTGGGTCACCCCAGGTTCCCTTCTTCCAGGGGCTGGCAGCCCCAACGCTCCCCC